CCACAAACCGTAAAAACCCGAAATTAATATGACATGTTAATCGTAGTGTTTAGGCTTTAGTAAAAGTTACTGATTACCGACAATTTTGCTTCTCAGCAAAACTGGAAAAAGACAATTTTGTGGAACTTTTTTTTTCTTTCTTGAAAAAAACGAGGGGTGTAAATCAATTCACAGAAGTCATTATACATGTATAACGAAGATTTGTGCCACATCACAATTCAATAACACACTCCATTCTAGATGCTAGATTCGCATGCTCGTAATAGTTTGAATACATTAACAATAAATGATTTCCACTAAGGAAGATAAATGCAATATTTACAAAGTCTTAGTTTCAGTTGAGATTTAAAAATATTTAAAACTAAAGTACTTTTTAATTTTCTCGGGGTTTTTTGGTTCCATATTTTGGGGATGCCACCAGCGCAGTACTGTTTTATTATTTTTTTTTATTATTCATCTTTGCTATGATGCCTTGTTTCATTGGACATCCAAACTCGCTTTTTTTGGTTATGATTATTATTGGTCTGTAAGAATTCCTTTCAAACCAACTGGACATCACAGTACTGCGCCGGGCAAAGGGTCGTTTCATGTACATGTATTTTAATTTCTGATTACATTTTTACTGTTTGACATATCTCTTTGGAAAACGTGAAGTCTGTGTCGGAGTGACCTGTCAAGATGGCGAGCACTGTTGGGAAGAGAGAGGCGGTTTCTTCTGCGTCCCAGATTAAAGAAAAAATGTGGACATTGCAGACGAGCAAAAGGTACAATAGTTCATACGTTTGTATATGCTGAAGTTTCATGTCACGTGTTCTGGTTGTAGTAGGCCGTCGTTTTTATCCAATGCAGTCAACTTGAACTCGAAGGTTAATAACACAAATGTTTGCTGCTCTTTAATGGCTTTTAAAGAAACCTCGCAGAACTTGATTACAATAAAAAATATATATGTTTTATAATCTTTTCAAATAAAGGTGCATTTCTTATTTACAAACACAATGAATAACGATAACTTCTCAATCACAGGGTGACATTTGGGTAAACACTGACGAAATGTGTTTTGCAGAAATATATTTGGGTATTAATATTTACAAACTATGTGTTAATCAAAAAAAAACAGTATAGTCCAAATTGAGAGAATCAAATCATTAGACTTTTTTCCATATTTGTGTCTTTGTTGATTGGACTGTCATATTTTATTGTTCGATATAGGGCTCTGACGACCCCCCGACACCTGGAACCGAATGAGACAAAGAGCGATTGAAGTAGTATGGCTTTTATATAGTTCAATTATCATTATATATATTGCTTTAGCAAATTAAATAGCACAAAATGCTAGCGGCTTTTAAAAAGTACATCATTAGCTTTATTGCAGTTTTACATGGTTTACTCAGAAGAATAAGCCAGCAGTTCGGTATCTCGATTAGAAGTCCAGGTCAGAGGTCATTTGGGATAAAATCGCTGTCTTGATGATACGCGATGTATGTTACGCGAACGCCCATTCTGCTTGTAAATTAACACGCGAGCGATGCGTGCACATAGATATAGAATAACAAGACTATATCTATGGTCGTGCACCCGTCTCGCTGCGCGTTTGTCCCACAGTTTAGCGTTCGATTATCCCAAATGACCCGTGAGACCCATATCATTGAGCGCATGCGCAGCTGCAGCTGAAATACCGAACTGGCTTATTATGGCACATAATACAAACTATACAATAATGCTGTTAGTCAACATACTCACTGACCTGTCATTTTCACCTGTTTTTTTTTTTTTAATTAGAGGCGCTGTTTTACTATGACTTTTTTCGAAAAAAGACATATGATACTGTCCCAGTATAATAATATTCTCAAAATCACGGCTCATAAAGCAGAGAAATAGGCCTATCGTGTTCACCGTACCAACCAATAGACAGGCAAGGCTTCGCCTCGCCCGCTACGCCAACTTTTTGTTGCACTGTTGTGTATCGTTTAAATTAGATTAAATTTAAATTGCAATAGCATCTATGTACACGCTTAATACTCCCTATGGATTATTAGTACAATTCAGCACGGCTGTTTTACCATGACCTTCGAAGCCGACACTATGATACCCATTTTCTTTATTATGTTACCTTTAGAAAAATAGTAGAAAGTAGTTATAGCTTTGTTTAAGAATGATCAATATACATGATCCCGCGATTGAGTTTATTTGTTTTTGCTTACTGGCACCGCCACCAGCCGATAAAACGTATTAAATAAATTCAACGAAAGGATTCGAGCATGAAAATGAATCGACTTTTGGTGTTATACTGTCCATAAAGTGATGTCTCAGTTTCTGATTTATCTGGTTCCATGAATAATCGGATTTAATTTGCCATCAATCGCAGTCAATATGTTAGTTTTACTCAAAATGTGTATGTGTGCACTATCTTTGGAAAAAATCTTTGCTTACGCAGGGATAGTTCAACAGAAAGTATTTAGCAGAAGCTCCATCACGCACTAGCCTAGGTATTAGTCGTCGCATCGCATCGTTATTCTAGTCTGTACGTCAGCGATGTAGTTGTAGCCGCGCGCGGAGCACAACTGGCGGCCTGGGCCTAATTGCTTAGCAAAAAAAATCCTGGCTTATAAAAGCAATTTACCAGCCAAAACTCCATGTGATTTTCATTCTATAGCAAACAACTGCTGAATACTAACCACGGGCAGTATACATGTACATCACATTGACTACACAGGGTGGTGCAAAAAGAACAAAACCCACTTTTGACAGGAATGTTAACTTATTTACTTAACTTGAACTTTTTTTAAAAATAATGTGGTAAAGTACATTAAATGTAATAGCTCGTGAACCATACGTGGTGAAATTTTTCTTTTTTTTTAAATATCGCAAGAATGGTGCACTATTCTTTCGATTTTTTTAAATATATCTTTTCAGTGTTATTATGCTAATTTGAATACAGTACACACCGAAATCATTGTTGGACATGTGTAAGTCTAGTGTAGTGTTTTTTTTTTGTCTTCAAATCAATCTCTGGAGTCAGTCAAGCGCATGGAATAAAGCCGTCCATGGACAAACGGGTTTGGCCCATAACTACCATATCTCGGAGATAAAATATGAATTTCTATTCATTTTTTGTCACTTATGTTCAAAAATAAATATTTTAATACCATTAAATTGAATTTTTGAAATACACTCAACAAGTAAGTGAAAATTGCTGTCCAAAGTGGGTTTCCTTCTTTTTGCACCACCGTGTAGAACTACTGTCATGTGATTATGTCAAGTTATCATCAAAGTAAGGGGCCATTCAGAATTTTCAATGTTTTAAAATTTCGATCTTTTTTCCAAATTGTGGGTGGGTGGGTCAAGCTAAATAATTGAAAATCGAAATTCACTTTCCATGGAAAAAGATTAAAAAAAAAAAAAAGATAAATCTTTTGACTTGCCTGAACTACGCGCAAGCGTTCCGATATCGCGATGCGTGTTTGTTTTCCAACTTCGTCCCCTGTATGTACGTGTATATAAACCCACCGTGGCATGAGAGGGAGGTGGTTTTTCAGTAGACTTGGACTCCGGGCGTTTGTAGCGGTTAGGCCGTGCAGAGGCAGCAGGGTACCAGGTGTACTAGATCGGCTCTATAACACGCCGCGGGCGTCGGTTACCAATCGCTATAAAAATTGGACAATTCAACCACTGGACTCAAAGACTACAAGGACCGCAGCTTGTGATGTGATGTCTGCCCAAACCTGCTGTTTTTCTTTCGCTCGTACCCCCGCCCTACAAACAGGAAGAGGGGGGGGGGAGGGGTACGAGTGAATGTTTTTCTCAGCTACCTCACGTGACAGGCACAACCTCGTTTGTCACATGTCATCCACCTCATCCAGAAAACGACAAAACCACGGTCATCTTTGTGGCTCCCAAAACTGCAACTTGTCATTCCCAACAGCATATCAGCTGGCAAAACACAAGAGAAGGTCACCAGTGCAAAAGAGGAAGACCGACAACTTCACGCCGTCACTGAACTAGACACACATGTACAGGGGTATACATGTTCATGTTCAAGTATATGTACATGCAAGTGCATGTACATGTACAAGTTCAGTTTTTTTATTAATCGAAATTAGGGGTGGGTGGGTGGGTCAAAATAATTTGGAAAAAAAGTCGAAATTTTAAAACATTGAACATTCTGAATGGCCCCTAAGACGACTCCGTTAGACTCTTCTCCCAAGCGCCACAATTTTTGTCGAGACAAGTCTATGCGGCTACATGTGAACAAGGGTGTCAGTTTTCCGAAAAGCCCAAGCACAACCTCTTTTAAAACATAACCAAAGTCAGTGAGTTGGCTGGGATGACCCCAAAACCCATGGAGGCGAGGTCAAGATTTATGGACACATCTTACAAGCAACCACCGGACCAATGAGATCCCCTACACCACAAAGATGAGATTTATCACATGTCCGGACGCGACTAATTGAGACTGGCCGAGGAAATTTCGAAGCAAAACGTTGTGCAATGGTACCAATACCGATAATACACGCTGAAGCTGCTAAGGATTCATAGGTCTCTATGAATAAATAGATAACATTGATAAATATTACTGTAATTTATAAACAAATCCAGAAATTTATAGCATCGTGTCGAGCCTTCGCGACCTTCCGAATACGCATCTGACGTGAAAACCGCCTGATTAAAACAGTGGCGGGACACTCGTTATCCCAACCTTCCATGATAACAAGAACACACAAGTTTCCTCACCTCCTTGAAAATTGTTCATCAGTATTAATCTGGGCGTCGCCAGGATTTTTTTCTAGAATAGGGCAAAGCACCCCCCCCCCCCCGAAATCCCTGTACCTTTCCAGCATTTTCTCGATTTATCAGTTTTCGAGGGTATGCAGGGACATCCCCCACCCATTACATTAACAGCAATATGACTTTGCGCCTCTTTTTCTTCCCCCCCCCTTTTGTTGTTGTTACTTTTCCGCCCCCCCCCCCCCCATCGCGACGACAATGTTAATCCATAGACATTGAACACCGCCCTCTCTTGCGCTATTCCGCTATTGCCCAGAATATAGCATGAAACGCCGTTCAATAATGCTGACGTGTAAACATTACATTTTATTTGTAGGCTATCGAGAGTCAACAAAACGGGGAATGTCTATTATTGAGGCTTTACGATGCCATGCGCATGCTTAGAGTTGCATAAGACTCTAGTTACATAGACTCGTCTCTTCAACCTCTTCTTCACCTGTAAGCTCAATCATGTTGTCCGCGACCTCGAGCTGGGAGTGTACCTAAAGTACAGGCTGATGGATCACATTTTGACCTTCGGCGCGACAAAGACAACCAAGAGGATCATCCCTTTGCTGATGACTGCGCGCTGGTGGCACACAAGGAATCTGACCTCCAGCGGATCTTTGACAAGTTTGCAGAAGCCTCCGGTCTTTTAGGTCTCGCCATCAGCCTTGGTAAGACAGAGGTACTTTACCAACCTGCTGTAGCTGCGGCCCCCCAGCCGTCAATTTCCATTGAGCTCAAGACAGTGGAAAGCTTCAAGTATCTGGGCAGTGTCATCTCTAATGATGGCTCTCCTGACAAAGAAATCAACACCAGGATCTGCATGGGCAGCAGAGCCCTCGGTCACCTGCGAACACGTGTTCTGAACCAACACAGCATAAAGTTGTCTATAAAATTGAAGGTGTACAAAGCCATCGTCCTTACTAGCCTCCTGTATGGTTGTGAAACTTGGACTGTATACAGAAGACTACTGAAAATGCTGGAACGCTTCCACATGCGCAGTCTGAGATCAATCCTTGGTGTACGGTGGCAAGATCGAGTCACAAACCAGGAGATCCTTGATAAGGCAGATACTACAGGCAACGAAGCTACTATCCTGGACTGGCCATGTCACCCGAATGGAAGAATGCAGAATTTCAAAGCAGCTGTTCTATGGAGAACTCTCTCTTGGAAGGAGAAAACGAGGAAGACCTTGCAAGAGGTACAAAGACTGTGTGAAAGCCAATATCACTCATGCGGGCCTCCCACCCAAGGAGATGGAACAGCATGCACATGATCGGGCTGGATGGCGAACCCTTAAACGTCAGGCCCTTGACAGCTTTGAGGAGCAGAGAAGAGCAGGCATCGCCATCGCCCATGAGAGGAGAAAGGCACCAATCATTTGGACAAAGAAGCTCCCAAATAGGCGATTTGCCAAAAGATGAAATACTTGAAGGTTGCGTTATATGTTAAGATAATATTTAACTTGAAACACAAATGTATAAAAAACAAATGTATTAAATGTAACATGCACCTTTTGCATTCTAAAACTTCTTTTAATGAATCTCAACATAATTTTGCTGAAAACCGCCTGCTCCTCAGGATCTCACTACATGCACATTTATATGGATCCTAATTTAATGCATAGATGAATGGATCAATGCAACAGACAACAAACCAACAGAAAACAGATTGATCGACACAATAATCGAATCGACAAACTGACCGACCACCCAGCTGACCGACTAATTGACTGACATTGTGATAAATCGACCAAGCCACCAACGGACCAACCGACTAACTCACCTACCGAAATAAATCTTTAGCAGTTTATAGCTTCAACACGTCACTTCGTCATGGTTTCTTTTCTTTTCCTTTAAATGTTTTCAACACTCAGCAACACATTTGAATATCCAGTACATGAGATTCTAGTGTATCAATACAGACATGTTGACTAGGTACCTTAGATGTCTACTCAACAACTTTAAAGTGGTTTGTTGAAGCCCCGAAAGCGTAGGCTCGTTTCCAGGTTTGAGCTCACCGTCCTCATTGTAGAACCAAGTATTTTGTATTCACAGTGCTCGGGACGAAACTCAGTTGTTGGGTGTTTCTCGTTCCTCGTCAATACCAGACTCAATTCTACGAAGCAGGGGCATAAGCAACATCTGTAAGGCGGCGGCGGCACCCAGACCAGCCAAGACGTAGAACACAGTGCTGAAAGCACCTGTGCTGTCATACGCCAAACCTTTAGATAAGAAAAAGATACGTGAACGTACATAGACACTCAAAATTCGTTGTGAAGCAGTGTTGTAGGTCCCAAGACCGATCTCGGTCTCGTCTCGGTCTCAGGAGCTGTGGTCTCGGTCTTGGTCTCGGTCTCGGGAGCTGTGGTCTCGGTCTTGGTCTCGGTCTTGGTCCCCTTTGGTCTCGATATTTTGGCTGGTCTCGGGTCGAGACCGGCAATATGTAGCATTTACAGCTCGATCAATTACTTTGTTTTCCCTTCCTTCAGTACCGTTGATAGGTAAAACATTTGCTAGCCCGTAGATCATGTTGTCGACCTTAATTCTTGTAAACGAATCGTTATATATCGTGGTTGGTTCGGACTGCACGTTGGAAAGTCCCCAAAGTACATGTAAAGCTGCAGCAGTATCAGTCATGCAGCAAAGCAAATCATTTTGAAAATAGCTCATTTTAAGTACCCCATGCTCGAAAAGCAAAATCCCAGTCAGAAAAAAAATTAATATCTATCTAGCTACCACCTCGCAACCGTGTGGGTCTACATGAACAAGTTTATATTCCATGAAAGACATTTTAAAAAATAATTCAATATTTCCTAGCTCCCATTTTTTTTAAAATCAGGTTAACAAGTCTTGGTAGAATTTAAGTCCTGTTATTATCGGGCAAGATTGGCTGCAGATAACCTATCAAAGTTCATATTTTTTAAGTGTAACTAATTTGTCAACACGGCCACTGGTCAAAATTGTGTCTGTAATCTTCGTGAATAAAAGGTTATGCGTCTTGTTGTTTTATTTTAGATTATTGTTATCTTATTATCCGCGTTCTCGGTCTCAGTCTCGGTCCATATTGGTCTCGGTCCGCCTTGAAGGGGCTGGTCTCGGTCTCGGTCTCGAAACTTCAAGTCTCGGTCTTGGTCTCGGCCTCGGACTATCCGGTCTCGACTGCAACACTGCCTATAAATAGAGTTGGTGATAATGGTGTATACTCCACAGTTGATATACCCATAAAGCATTGTGAACTTCCAGTCTTTACCAAAAAAATGGCGATGTTAAGTGCCTTTTTCGAAAAATCAATTTTCAAAATATTAAATCAAAATATTTAAAGTTGCTTCCGTAGTATAGTATTAATAAGGAAAGGACCACCATGCATTAACGGTAGTAGACAGGCAAGAAGACGAGGCAATACAAATATGAAATTGCCTTGCATTTTGTCATGATTTTATCAAGTAGTAAAAGACAGTTGAATCAAGTTTTGAATATTTGCTTTTTATCGCGAACCAATAACAAACTGTTCTTTGTATATTTAAGGTATATGACCCTGATTTTTATTCATTTTGTGTAAGCTCCATCTGACCTTCACTTCATTTGAACATCTTTCAGGCAATTCAACACACCTGAAAATTAATCCGAGGCTTATTATTGTATCCGTGTTATTTCCATGTCCGCATTAACTTTTGTCCAGATTTACTTATACATGTACTATTTTTAGTAGTAGAGTACGCGTAGGACTTACCTGCAACTATGGGACCTATTAGATTCCCGACGCCACTGAAAAGGAGCATTATGGCTTGTCCGGAAGCCAAATGGCGTAGACCAACTAATTTACGAAGTAAAATATTGTTCCATGCAGTGGTGGCTCCTACACACATACCGACGATGCACGCTGAAGCTGCAAAGGATTCATAGGTCTCTGCTTGGGAGCACAGTAAACCAACGCAGCACAGCACAAATGAACATGTGCAGAGGGCCTCGACAGGTGTTTTACGGGTCACGAAGAAGCCACTGGACAGCCTGGCGCCCAGACTCCCGAACCCAAACATGCTGAGCAGAAATGACGCCTTGAGCTCATCAATCCCAGAGATCTGGGCTCTGGGTACAAGGAAGATCACGGAGCACGAGTAGATCATTTGGAGTTCTACACACGTCAAGCAGAGAAGAGAAAAGCGATAACTCTTCAGCATCAATTCCAGTTTGAATGCGGAGAACACACCCTTTAAGAAACCCACCAAGGACAAGCGCTTTAATTTGTGGACATCAGATCGCACTTGTACTTGCTGATGAGTGTTTTGCCCCTCGCTTAATCTTTCATCTCTGTTCGGGTTGCAATCATCTACCTTTGAACCGTGCAAGGAACGGTAAAGTGCACCAGCCACACATAGGTTCGCACACATCGCGGCCGCAACAAGCATAGTTCCCCGCCATCCGTATGCATCGAGTAAAAGGTGGAAAAGAGGCGGGGACACGACCATAAACGTGCTGCTTCCGGCCATGCAAATGCCGCTGACTTGAGCATAGTACTTCCTAAAGTAGTCTGCGACAGCAACCGTTGCAGCCATGTAACACAGAGATATTCCCAGACCTGTCACACGTGAAATCAAACAAATTAAAGGATTATCAGGTCGACCGACCGTATGCTTCTGGCTTTTTCTCTTTGACGAATGATTTAATAACATAACTTTAAGACTGTGTTTAAAGAGTTGTGCATTAGCTCCTTAAGTTAACATTATCAAATTTATGAAACAGAAATTTAATACATTTTACCTGTGAAAAATGCAAGGGTGTACATATGGATCAGATTTGATGCCCAGGGGGTCATAAACATGGCAAAAGACGTCAGGAATCCGCCCAGGATGCAAGTGAAGCGGTAACCAAACCGGTTGCAAACTACACCCGACAATGCAGCTGTGGGAAAAAGTACAACACTTGTCATTCCATTTTTTTTTCCAAATACGTGCAGATACGTGTAAGTAAAATACAACAGCCTTTATGTCTTGAGGAGTTATGTAGAGTACGAATACTAGTATGCAAAACAAGTAGTCTGGTTTATTAATTTTTTTATATTGGGGGGGGGGTGTTCTAATTGCAGAACATGGAAAGCGTTTTACTGAATCATGTTTGTTTGGTTATTTTACGTACAAAAACTCTTTGATAACGAGACAGCTTTTCACAACAGCAAGATGCTGCTATTCATGTAAGAATTGTCCTGAACATGAATTCAACCAAATGGAGATGAACAAAGAACTGTAATTTAGCAACAAGGTTGAACAAAATGAATTGTCCAGCACAAGCAATTAAGCACTTTAACTTTGATTACAACAGTTCGCTTTATGTTTTCTGCGTCAGGTGTATGAGCTAGATTGTTTAGGAAACATAAGATGAAAACATCCTTACATCCAAGAAACACAGTGGAGGTTACGATGCTGGAAATCCCCCCAGTCTGCACAGCGGATGCATCAAATGCATTCTGCCAGCTGAGGAACAGGATCCCTGTACACCGCATCATGGTAGAAATTAAAAACATGACAAAGAAAGAAGCGACGGCTATAGTTGTGCAGCGGCCGCGGCCAGGTGCGTTTGTTGGACGAGTCGCCGAATGCCCTGTGGTATGCCGCTGCGAAGTCATAACGCTCATCTGAAAAAAAATAGGAGGTAGCTGATGAATATTAACTTTTTAATTTACTTTTTTTATATAATGTTGAACTTTATACAAGCGGTAGATATCAGTCTTGGAGTCCAGTCCTCAAATCCAAGTACAAAGAACTCCGAGTACATTCAAGGCTGAGTACTGAGCCGAGTCCGAGACGAGTACGAGTCCGAGTACAATACCAAAAAAAGTACAAACGATAAATAAATTAATTAATTAATTAATTAATAATACAAATAAATAGATGTATAAATAAATTAAATTAAATTAAATTGAATTAAATTAATTTAAAGCTTGCACTTTTGAGGAATCCTTGGTTTCATTACCAGAAATAAATAAATAATTCAATAATCGTTTACTTCGTTTCTTATGAACAAAAGGATGATGCTTCAGATTTCAAATACATGCATGCACTCGTCATTTTTCAAGGCTGGGTTGGGGCAACCTTGAAATTATAAAGCAAATATTTCTGCACAAACAGTACTGCATTTATTGATGTTAATCGCAAAAAAAATAATATTAACAAAGGTCATAAAGTACAAACGATATCATGTTCGTAGGAATAAAACACGGCAGTGCTTAATTCACTACCATTTTTTAAGCATTTACTCCAATTTGTATGAATGTAATTAAGCAAACACTTTTACTGAAAGCCATTTGCTAAAATCGGAAAATAATTAATTTTTACCGTTTAGCTTTTGCTACACTATAAGCTTTTACTTCGTTCCATATGAATAAAAATGAGTAAATTTCATTTCATTTCATTTCATTTATTAATTTCACAGGTAAAAATTCAAGTACAGACAATAAGAACAGTAAAGAAAACAAAAACAGCACATACAGTTAGGAGAGAGAACAAGAAAAAGAGAAGAAAAAAAAAAGTAGCACCCCTGATGGATTTTAAAAAAGTAAACTAAATTACTATCGAGTTAATCTCCTGATGCCACAATTTAAGAAGAGACAATACAAAAGGACATTACAAATGGACATTATTAAAACATGGCTTACAGTATAAGAATATAGAACTATACAAGCAGTTAAAACTTTAAAAGCACAAATGGGCATTAAAAAATACAGATTCGGTAAGAGAGATTCGAGTGAATTATAATGCAAAAGACACTATAAAATTGAGAAAAAAAAACAAGCAGCAAGGTATTTGAATGGGCAAGGCAACTAGAAATTTAAACTGTTTTGGTCAAGGGGACCTCCTGGCCAGGGACTAATAAAATGATTTCTGAGAGAATTTGTAAAGGAGGATAAACTATGGATAATTGTATCTTTAATGCAGGCCGGTAGTTCATCCCATAATCTAGGGAATCTGTGAAAAAGAGAATGATGGGCAGCATTGGAACGAGCCCGATGATGGACAAATTTAACAGATTCGATATGTCTACAATTAATGGGAATTAGAGTGTCAGTGTCAACGTCAAATTTATTATATAAACATTTAATAACAAACGTAATTGAAAGAAAATGAACCCTGTTGATTAAAAGAGGCAGACCCAGCTTGACACACCTGTCTGAATATTCAATTTCATTTACAGAATCAATTAAAACCCTTCTCGGCAGACCCAAACAAAACGGGTGAATCGCCTCTGTACCTTCTCTAGCGTTTTTTGCTGAGTCGAAAGAACAGGGCACCAGACTGGAGCTGCGTATTCAAGTATGGGTCTGCTAATTGAGCGATAAAGTGAAGTCAGAATGTTAGGGTTTCTAGTTTTAACTACTCTACCAATAAATCCGTTGAGTCTAGTGGCTTTGGAAGTGACTTTATTAACATGTGTTTTCCAGCTTAAGTCCCTGGAGATAATAACACCCAAGTATTTGTAACTATCCACATTTTCCAAAGTGTTTTCAGCAATTTTATACAGTGGTTTAGCAGGGTTTCTAGACCTGGTCACAGTCATCAATTTACACTTATTTGGGTTTAAAGTCATACAGTTTAGATTACACCAAGTGTTTATGTGCTGCAGGTCATCCTGGAGTGCCACTTCATCCTCTTGATTTTTAATGACTCTGTACAAGACAGTGTCATCTGCATACTGACGGAGATTAGATTGAATGCAAAATGGTAAATCAAAAGCAAAGATATTGAAAAGAATAGGTGCAAGAACAGCACCCTGTGGCACGCCAGAATGAACTGCAGCCCAGTCAGATGATGAACCCATAAACTGAACCCGTTGTAATCTGTTTGAAAGATAAGACTTAAACCAGTGCAACATTGAGCCACAAATACCGTATTTATGTAATTTATTCAAAAGAACTTTGTGACTCACACGATCAAAAGCTTTTGACCAATCAAGAAATATAGCATCAATGCGGGGCGGTTTTGAAACATCAAGAGCATTGGCCCAGCTATGATAAAGAGTTGTCAATTGAGTAACGCAAGATCTTTTAGGCAAGAAACCGTGTTGTGTAGGTGAGATTATCCCCCCTCTATACATGTGATTAATGAGATGTTTACAGATAATCCTTTCAAGAATTTTACCAACCACAGAACATAGTGAGATGGGTCTATAATTCGACATAACATGAGCGTCACCAGTTTTGAACAAAGGGACAACATTTGCTAGTTTCCACTCATGCGGAACTACACCTGTGGCAAGCGACAAGTTAAAAATTTTAGCTAATGGCTGGGCTAAACTCCCACAAGCTAGATTCAACAACATAGGAGATATATCGTCTGGCCCACAGGATTTGTGCATGTTGAGTTCTGAAAGGAGTTTTTTAACCTCAGCTGGGGTTGTGGAAATGTTACAAAGACGAAAATCGGAATTAACATGATCACAGGATATGTCAATGATATTGTTAGAGTCACAGCTAAAATTACTCTGAAACATGAGATTGAAATTCTGAGCAATATTAACTGGATCATTGATGACACCATTATCAGTTTGAAAACTTGTAATCGTACTCTTACGGCGTTGAGTACTAACAAAGACCAGAACTGTTTGGGATTATTTGAACAATTCGTAGCCATGTCATTGATAAAAGCACAATACGATTGTCTAGTACGGTATTTGACCTCATTCCGAAGCTTTTTGTACTTAGCCCATAAGTTATGATTAGCTTTGTTACGGATAGCTGCTTTAAAGGCTCTATTCTTCTTTTTGGATAAAATAGTGATATCATGTGAGATCCAAGGATGTTTCTTTCTACCTTTGCATTTGGCTATAGGAACAATATCTTTTACAGCAGCAAACAACAGGTCTTTAAAATAACCCCAAATCTCATCAATATTGTCTGAAGAAAAGCAAGTGTCCCAAGGCACCATACGGAGAGTGTCACATAAGGTATCGATGTTAGCTTTGTTATACTGGTAAAAAGACCGATTCATAGTTTTGTAATCATAAGAGGTTAACATATCAAACTTAACACCATTATGATCACTGTTTCCAAGTCCGGGATGTTGCGTAACATTGGAAAACAAGTCTGGTCTGTTTGTAAATAACAAATCTATCACCGAACCAGGAACAGTACATGTAGGTGAATTACCATCACGAGTGGTGAATGTGACTAACTGCTGTAAACTGAGAATATCAGAGATATTATTCAGACGTGCCGATGATGGTTGTGTACGGGAATCAATGTTAAAATCACCAAGTATTACTATGGCAACATACTGTTGAGAAAATTGTAATATATTTTCTACAACAGATTGATAATCATCGAAAAACTTAACAGAGGCACTAGGAGGCCTGTACAGGCAACCCAGCAACACTTTACCACGTTTAGTATGTATTTCAATCATAATCAATTCAATATCAACATGTTCAAACTCATATTTACGAACTGGAGATAAATGTTTGGCAATTGTGACAAATACGCCTCCACCATGTCTGTTACGGTCCTTTCTAAAAATGGCATAGTTACAATCAGAAGATAGTTCTCCATCGTGTATTGAGTTGTCTAGCCAGGATTCCGTGATGAAAACCAGGTCGTATTTGTAGACATCTAGTTCAGTTTGAAAAAGAAGTAACTTGTTGACAATACTTCTTGCGTTGAACAGAACTGCACTAAGGGTAGACTTGGATGAGAGTCCCAATGTAGTCTCGGATAGTGCCGATGGTTGAGATGTGAGAGTGGACTGGATAGATGGTAGTGATGGTGGTAGAAGATTTGCACTTGCAGTTGGACCGGGATTGCTTTCAACATCACCACAAACATCCAGTTCAATGTTGAATGAGGCAACACAGTTGGAGTAATAGCTGATTGGCGCATGTCCAAACTTACGCTTGTAGCTTCTAGTACTTGGTTTGTACAATGTCAGCCATGATAAGTTGAAGAAACCACTGTAGTGGGTATGGTCAGACCATGGTCTTGTTGGTTGTGTGGTACAAGTTTGCACGACTCCACGGTAATGATGGGGGATGATGCTGAATATCAATTGAATAGCATGTCCAGAAGTATATGTAGATATTAACCTTGGAGCAACATCCGATGAGTTGTTATGGAGGAAATTCCTCCCTTGATGAGTCCATGAGGGAAACAGCATTATGGTGAGCAGAAATAAGTTCACACTGCTGTAAGCCATGATGAAAATTATTGATAGTCCAGGTCCTCTTCAGGAGACACATAAAATGGCTGACATCTGGACTCTTGCAATCACATGTGAAGAAAAAGTCACATGAATATCTCCAAATCTCGATGAAAATGTTACCTCCAAAACAGCTTAGTTGATCAATAGTGTTCCATAATCACACATACTTGTAGATGAAGGTTGGATGGCGTGGAATTACTGTAGAATAATCTGGATTTAAAAGCTGAATCTAGCAGACAAGAAAAACACCCTGCTACCCTCTCGAATCTAGCTTCAGATTTCAAACATTTACTTGTCATATTTCAAGGCTGGGTTGGGGCTACCTTGAAAATATACAAGCACATAATTCTGCGCAAAAGCTACTGCATTTATTAATGTTAATCGCGAAAAATTAATATTAATAAAGTACAAATAATACTTTAGTTCGTATGAATGAAAACTGGCATTTGCATTTACTGCCAAGTTTTAAGCATTTACTCGCATATGTATGAATAAGAATTAAGCCAACGCTTTAACTGAATTTTGCTCTTGAGTAGATGGACTGCACAGTGTAAAGGCTTACAAGTTGATAAGTTTGCAGAAAACATAATTATCGTAACCGAAACGGAAAGCGGCACGTGTGGGCGCAGCGCGTACATACTCGGTGCGCATTTCTAGCTTCGCGCACGTTGACTGAGCTAGGTCACGTGCTGGGGACAGATACATTAGCAGTATTACTTTGTTAATTTTTTGTGGGTCCACGAGACCACAAAAATGGCGCACATTTATCGCACAGTGAATGCTCGCTGAAATTTGGACTGAATATCCCTTACATAAAATACTTCCATTTGCGACAAATCAACGCACCTTGGAAATTCCTATAGTTTTTGAGTAAAATCTATATACATTGTATATTTTTTCGTGATAAACTTTTAGAGACATATTCACCTTAAAAAAATGGAGACGTACACAATCTTTTGTTCCCTATTGTGCACATGTCTCCAGAGGTTACCGTGTTACAGATCACTTGGCGCCGTAAAATCAACAGGTGTGTGGGGGGGGGGGGGGGGCTCGTACCATAGTTTCAATTGGGGCACTGTTCAAATGCAACCATCATTAACACTTTAATAGTGTACAAATACCCCCTTTACCCAGCTGCCTCTATCCGAATTTTGCTCAGGCCGACATTATTACCAGTATAATTTGTATTGGGGGGGGGGGGTCAGAGCGGAGAGAGGGGGGTTTACAATATTTTTTATGTATTTCAATTGAAAAAAAAATGAGTCAGAGCTCTCCTGGTTCCGCGCCCGAGACTGTTGTTCTCCAGTTGTACAAAATAATCCAAACGACAAGACGAAGACAAAGACGAAAATGAAGACAGAGACAAAACGAAGACAAGAATGAAGACACAGTCGCTTATAAATCAAATGAAATAGCTTAAAATTCATGTGAGTCTTGTCCAAACTCATTTGATTCAAATAAATGTTGTTATACACAATGAGTATTCTGATTATACACTGTAAATGCAAGACTTGTTGGGTAGGCAGGTGTCATGACAATTAAAATAATACTTAATTGGATGAATGATTAATCAAGTAAACTTTGAAGAGAATCACAGTCTTACCCTGACATAAAATAGAGAAGATCTGTATATTTGTACAATGTAGTTGAGAGGATAAGCTTTTGGCTCAGCAAAAAGTATCAGCTATGGGTTAAAATAACAAAAATACCAATAGAACATACATATTATACTAGTGAATATTCTCCCATCATCTGAAACTCCCATGCACTGAAAAACAACGCGACATCAAGTGCAATTCTAAATATAGCGCTAATTGTACAGCACAGTTAATATTCAAAAGCTGTTTTGCTATTAAACACACATTTGTATTCAATGCCACAATTCTATAATATATCGTGCAGTGTAGGCCTATACGAAAACGGTCTTTCAGCTAGAAAGGTTTTGAGACTTTCATACAAAACCGACACCCTAAACACAATAAGAATCAATCACTCAGATTGACCATAATTATTTCAATCAACATCTTCCATGCCCCTTTCAATATCTACTCAATGCTCATTTAGAATTGAACTTACCCCCCACAATGGGTGAAAAGTGGGTAATTTTCAGACAAGGTTTGGCTCGGTCTAATTGGGTTTCACGGCCCGCTCGTACATTACAAAATAGTGGAGTCTCATTTCAGGTAGCGCGACATACGTCCATGAGACTGAAACCGCTTAACTGCTGCGCACAATGTGTATGGAGGTCAAACTTTCTCGCTCTGTGATCGGTAGTTCAACAAAGACCACTTCGGATTCTGAGAGAAGAAGAATTTCTGAATCTTTTCATGCCAGTTTAATGTCCAAACCCCCTAAAAATGCACTCGCTGTAATGAAATATTGAATTTCATGTCAGTTAAGTGACCCACGGCCACCGAGTTGTACGCAAGGGCGTCGCCAGGATTTTTTCTCTAGAGGGGGGCAAAATTTTTTCCCAAAAATTCTGGTATTTTTCAACTTATTCTCGATTTATCAGTTTTAGCAGGGACATGTTTTCCCCCACCCCCACCTATTAAATTTACACCACTATGACTTTGCGCCTTTTTTTCTTTTCTGTTTTTCTTCTCCTTTTTTTTTTTTTTTTTTTTGCTTTTCGGGGGGGGGGGGGGGGGGCTCGCGACGCCCATGGTTGTAGGCACATAGATGAGAGCGCGGTGCCAACATTGCGACTGACATGCTTTGAATGAACGTCCCCAACGTTCTTGTCGTGCACCAGACGACTAAAGCCACTTAAGAACGAGGTAGATCAGGTCCTAACGAAGACGATGGATGCTAATTTTGTTGTTTTCATTCAATTAAAACACCCGCTGACAGGGGCGGATCCAGGAATTTTCGCAGGGGGGGGGGTTTCATCAGCAAAAAAAAAATAGAAAATGTACACAGGTTTTTTCTCCGGACAGTTGGCCTCCGTACAATCAAAAACTGAGGGGGGGGGGGGGGGGGGGGGGGGGGCTGGTCCCCTATTTCAATAGGGGGCGCTGTTCAAATTCGACGATTATTAACACTATATAGATTACAGAATGGTGTACCGTATTTTGAACAGGCAGACATTGTACCAGTGGGGGGAGGGGGTGTCACAGCAGGGGGGGGGGGGTTCGATTTATTGTTTAGGAATTTGTATGATAATTTTTTTTTTGGACACCCCCCCCCCCCCCCCCCCCCCCCCCCCCCCCCCCCCCCCCCCCCCCCCCCCCCCCCCCCCCCCCCCCCCTGGATCCGCGCCTGGCTGAAGTAAGTAAGCACAGCGGACACAATCAGCATGTATCGTGCTCATGGGCGTGCTCTGTATAACGTGCTCAATAATCCGCCGAATCCACCCGGTGCAGAAGCTAGCACGCCGGAGAAGTGAGACCGTGACACCAGAACTAACGAGATTTCCATATACACATTGTGAACTGCAATGCATGGTTTTATGGAGGTCAAAATGGCCGCCGCTTGTGTAAGAGGGCTTCACGTCATTGTATATGGTCAATGGGCCGACGCACTATCCAGTCAGCATAGAGATCAGTGCTTTTAGATGACGGAGGAAATTCGCTTATTATAATATAATGCTTTTGGTAATGGTATTTTTGTGCATTTTCATCCATAGCTGAGACTTTGCTGAGCCAAAAGCTTAACCTCTCAACTCTCAACTGTACAGGTCTTCTCTATCCAATGCTATCTTATGTAAGAGTAAGACTGTGATCCTCTTTATTTACTTGATTAATCATTCATCATAATTTAGTATAAATTTTGAATGGTCATGAAACCTGCCTAGTACAAAACAACTCTTGCATTTTTAGTGTATAATACATCATGCACGGTCATTCAACTAGAAAAGTTTTGAGACCTTTACACAAAACTGACACCATAAAACCTATCAGAATCAATCATATGGACCATAATTATATCAATCAACATCTTCCATGCCCCTCACAATCTACTCAATACTTATTTGGAATTTTACTTACCCCAAAATGGGTGAAGACTGAACGATGGGTGATTTTTAGACAAGGTTTGGCTCGGGCTGATGAGTTTCACGGCCCGCTACATTACAATAGAGGAGTCTCATTTTACGTAGCGCACCATATGTCCATGAGATACTGCAAGCGCTCAGATCAACTGCTGGGTGCATGTGTACGGCCCCCGGAAGGTCAAACTTTCACCCTTCTAGACTTGGTTCCAAGTCGGTTATTGGTTTGCGTACGGTAACCGGTTACTGGATCCGCGCACGCAAAATATCGCTGCAATGCGCATAGTCTGTTTCCCAGACAAAATAAGTGATGCTGACTATTTCTGACAAATTACAGACTTGGTGAAAATGTTTTCAATTTTGTACATATGGGAGTATTTTGAATCGCTAGCGAATTATGATTGGTTAGGGATTCACTGCCAGATAGTATATCTAGTTTCTACGCCGCCACGGAAGATCATTCTCATTACTTTGTGTTGGGTAACATATTACAAAATTCATTATAGAGCATACACGACTCAAATAAATCAAGTGCAGGCCTATCCCAATGGAACATTTTATTTAGCTGAGTGTATTGTTAAAACGTCGCCAGATCTGCAAACTTGTCCCTGACGTATTGAGAAGAACTCCCCATGTAACGGAATATGCATTTGCATAGCGCGCGATTGGATCTCACTGCGAAAATGCACTGCATATTATGTATTGCGCTGCTTGCATAATTTTATATGCATGAATAACGGTACGGTGAGAACGTAATCGTCAAGCCGTTAAATTTGTCGCAACCCGACGGCCGATTACGTACTAGACTTATACCAGCCGCGCCGTTCGACTGAAGTTCACGGACAAAATACTCAAACTAAATGTGTGCATATTCAAAATAAATTTGAACAAAATTCACATAAATTAACTGTATGTACCTATGCAATATTCATAAAGCATTATATATCTGAAGTTATGTTTCGTGTACTCCACCACCAGCGCTATAGCGCCACCTATAAACATCTAACTTGCGTGACGATTGACCTCTGAGTATCGCTATGTCATGCAGTGTCTGTAAAAGTGTTTGTTCTTCATTAAAGTTTTCTGAGAGAAAAGGCCTGTTCCTTTCTGCTTTGTCACGAAACACGTTGATCGACTGTGCAGCGTGTCCCAATAAATATTGTGCATGAAGAAATCGCTGATTTTTGGTCGGACTTAGCTAATCAAAGTTTATAGCATTTTCAAGCCTAAGGTCTTGTCTTTAATAGGTGAAAAAAATCAAGAAAATCCATCGATGCAACAACAGATATCTTTGATTTGGTAAGGCTATATATTTTTTGACCTGCACAATGTAATTTCCAGACTTATTTTGCATGGCCTTAATGTAAAAATATTTCACTTGTTAATAAATAAAAGAAGAAACAGTGGAGCTAGAGGGTGTTTACTAAACATTGTTCATCAAAGACGGTTATTCAAAAACACGTGGTTTTCTTTATTTTTTTCACCAATTTTAAACAAGACCCTATAGGCTTTAAAATAAGGAAAACAAAATTATTAGGCAAAAAAAAAAGTCTTTTTTTTTTCAATAAAAGATGACGTCTCAAAACCGCCAAACTCACTGGTTTGACTGGAATCCTGCTGCTGCACAATTTTAACATGTTTTTAGATGGGGTTTTGATCGAGAATATTGTGGCCTCTCTGGACTCCCATATATTTGCACTAAGTTTAGTCGGGCACCATTTGCAGTCATCAGCCGACATTTGAAGCAAAAAAAAACAGGTAAAAAAAAAAAAAAGCTGCGTCCCCGCACCACTTTTTGGGCAAGTTCCAGAAACCGGAGACTTTTTTTTGGTCTTAGCTAGTATGTCCACCTTTTGAGCAAATCAGCGACTTCCACAATGTTTACTGGGACACGCGCTGTAAACGAGCAAATACTAAGTCTGGAAATCACATTGTGCAGGTCGAAAAAAAAATACATAGCCTTACCAAACCAAAGATATCTCTGGTACGCATGGTTTGCATCGTTGGATTTTCTTGATTTTTTTACCAATTATAAACAAGACCATAGGCTTGAAAATGCTATAAAATTTGATTAGCTAGTCTGGCCAGCTTTTGAGAAAATCAGCAATTCCTTACAAAGTTGCCATGAATACGAAAAATACGGCGAACGGTATTTTGCTACACGCCAACGGACCTATACCACTTTGCTGGGAGGGGTGTAAAGTCCAGAGGGAGGGATACGCAAAAGCATTATGCATCTAAAACAATTTTTTTTCATCAAAAACCGCCACCGCCAAATTGTCTTTCTCCTAAAACCTTTAATTTTATACTTTTCAACTCAACAAAAGAAACCTGGGTAATATCTATATCGGTTCCTCCTAACGTTTTGCAGCATGTGCCCCGCCATTGATATGGAAAGGGCAGTGCAGTAGTTTGTACAAATGCAACAACTCAGGGCGCGCGCGCGCGCCATCATGCCATGGTAGACTTGCAACGTGATGACCTATCCGTGCACATACACGTAAAGGATAAACGCGCATGCTGCGAAACAGTCACATTCCACGCGCACGACACATATTCTAAAAGGGACTTAGTAAAGTTGAATACTGATGTTCATTTTGAGACTTGCCGTGTACAAACTTATAAGTAATGAAGAGGACAAAACCCGCTCTTCTTGCATTGAATACAATCCCTCGTCGTTTATAAGTGAACGGAGATTCGGAGAATGAACATTCTCTTTGATAACTTCGATGGTGATGATGAAATAGCATTATAAAATAATCGTTCTTAAGGTGGCATTATCAAATAACTTAAATATCGCCCAAAAGAGGTACAAACGCGTTCACTATAGGGCCGTTACACTGGCGGGATAAGTGCACTGAAATGAACTGCAATAAATGGTCATTACATTATGTATTCCTAATGAATTGTTCATTAATGAAACTCAATTACCACCAACACCCATATATAAAACACTATCATAACTGAATCACGCAAGAGCGAAAAGTTCCACATGCCTTACCTTTACTTTCGGGACTCCAATCCAGGACACTGACTCATAGAAGCAATTCAAAGGTTTGGTTGGGCTGGCGAGTGGTTTCTCCGAGGATATATAGCAACCCTTGAAATGAGCGATATCAAGAGTTTGTAAGACTACGAGGTGCAAATGTTCTGTTCACAAAACACAAAAGGGAACATGTCCTTGTCTTTTTTTAAAGTTATCGCACTAATACTTTGTGTAAATAAAACAGTGTTATCTGCAATTAAAGCACAACAAGTGACCGTGCCCGAAAGCACCAAATCTCTATGGCAAACAGCTGCCTACCAATGGGCTCCGTGCGCGAACGAAAGAGGTACCCGACGTCCTATTTAGCTGGTTGACGCGCACTGTTCGCGTTCCTTGTGTGTGACGCACGTACACAGGGGGTTTGTACTATGTACACGCAAGTGCTACGGCCGCGCGTCGCGGCAAAATTGCGGTCATGCAAGATGGCGTCGGTTGGTAACCCTTAACTTTCGCTCGTACCCCCGCCCTGCAAACAGGGCGCTGGTAAGGGCTGATGAGGTTTCACAGAATCGTGTGAAGGAAGTACAGAATGACCTTCGCATGCAGCTAGCGCGCGCTACGCATGATGGGCACCGGAAGCTAGTTTGTGTGACGCGTTCTACGTCACAGGTCACGCAAAATCTATCCTATGACAGCTCAAATGACGTCAGCCCTTACCAGCGTCCTGTTTGCAGGACGGGGGTACGAGCGAACCCTTAACTTTACCTTCTTTGCTGCTGAGGGGGTACTTGTGAACGAAGCGGATAGAGCAAATATCGTATACCTTACTAATACGTAATGCATTTTGTGCACACAATGAAAATGCTATTTCTCAAAGCTTACATTAGTGGTGGCTGATGACCACGGATCAAGACTGGTGGCTGATGACCACGGATCAAGACTTAATAATCAGGAGACAACAACGCACGACCCTTTTACTAGAAGGCGAGGGTTCAGTCATCAGTCGAGCTGATCGCAACAACATCCCTTTAACTGATGCATCTTAATTCCGGTCCAGGTGCTTAACGGATATCTGAACAATAAACCTAGGATTTGTTTCCGAATTCGGAGCTGGGTCGGGGAGTGAACCTATGAGGCACACTTTGCTATAATCTCTACCTGTGAGAGTTCGAAGTATATTTCAAAGAATTTTGAAGTGTGGGGATTTATCACCAGTATCTATGGGAATTGTTTGCGGGGGTGCATGCACCCCCAATGTGTTGCAAAACTGGACACAATCTGTCACCAAATGTCGCTGTTCACGGTGGCCTGTGCAGACAGTATTCTGTCATAGACGCCAAATGACTATAATACTCATTAGGTCCATAACGTTCAGTTCCACACTGCGTTAAGACACACACCAAATTAATTTTTAATCTCACCGACGAAATTCCTAACAAGTCCATTCATTGAAGATAAGATCCGAGAGCTCTTTAAATGTAAAACGGGACAGGAAGGAGTCACACAACAAATGGAAGGCATTACTTGTCCAGTCATTCCCATAGCATTGTAACATGCATGGTTTTCATTCATATGGATCTTTTTTTCACAGATTATCTACTCATATGACTGACTGACCTGTACCTGTGCACAATATTCTTACTCTATTTATTAAGATTAATAAACCAAAAAATATGTTAATAGTGTTAATTCCTCTTTTTTAGGTTTTAATTTTGAAAACGTTGAAATCGAAACTCCGTCATTTTAAAGCTGCCTTTAATTCCATTCGTTGTTGCAGTGTCTGACTGACTCTGACCATGCAGTCCAAAGAGTTGGCCAATATCCTGGATTTATAGCTTCTGGAGCGAAAAGCAAGTACGAATTTAAGTGATATTTGATTTAGGTGTATACAGTCATCTTCAACAAGCGTACATGTGTACATAGTGTAAAGACACAAAGCCATATTCAGAACTGCAAAAGAGTAAGCACAACACTTGCGCGACACTGTTACTTTTGTAGGAAATTCGAACGAAGCCCCCCAATATATTGCTAGTTGTATCCCTCCGTTTATTAAACATATACACAAATTAGCCTATTAATCTGAGATATGGCAGACATAATACAATTCTTTTGTTTTTACCAAAACCAACATTATAGCGCCGTCCTATTGCGTCCCCTATCTCAAA